CACCTGTGCTGCATGGGCTGCTGCTCCCAGATATCACTGGCCCGCACACACTTGCCGCCTCCTATACTGGCCGCGCCCATCCCCTTCACTAGGGCTTATTTTTGGGATAGGGTTGATATGAGGTGTGCCCGTCAAAAACCAGGCTGAAGCTCATTTTCGGGGCAGGTTGTATTTTCGGGGTTGGTAATATTTTGGGGAAAATCTGTGTGTGTGTGTGTGTGTGTGTGTGTGTGTGTGTGTATGTCTGTGTCTGTGTCTGTAAGTGTATTTGTATTTTAAGTGGTGACTGGCAGACAGGCAAGGAAGTCTTGTTTTATTGATGACACATTAAGACTCATAACCACTGGCAAAAATAGGATGAGCACACTGTAGAAGACTTCCAGTCTTTTCAAGGTTATATCAGGAAATGGAAAGAGCAGGAGCTTCCTTTTTCATAATGCAATTTATATTTATATGAACACACAGCTATGATTAATAACAAATCTAAATTTTATCTGCAAAAATCAAATCCTGGGAGGCAGGTGAGTAAGAGGATCAGAGAGCAGGTGAATGAAGTACTCTGTGCTACAATACATCTAGTATTACATTTCTGAAATGCTTTACAACACCTTAAAGCTTAGCTCATTTGTTGGGTGATCTTTACCGTACACAAAGAATTGGAAACGCTTGTGGTGTTTGTTAAGTAAATGGCTACATATTACATTCATGGAAGGATATAATATCTGATAGGAGTGATCTGGAAATAGTGGATATATAGTAATGGTTTCTTCCAAGCAATGACTAGAAAATCTGTAATCTTCAAATGGTAAGAGCTATAAATAAGGATCAGAATAACCAATATGTATCCCAACAATACCTAAACACAAACTTAAAATTTTTAGGCACCCCCCCCTGCCCCCCGAGTACAATAATCTAAAATTTATTTAAGATTCAAAAAACTCACTCATACTATATCTTTTATTTTATTTCAATTATATAACAGTGAGTCCGACAGTAACACTAAATCCTCTAAAAAAATCCTAGTGGCATCTGAAAGACCAACCAAATTACCGCTCCAGAAACTCTTGTGCATGTCCATTTACTCTTATAGATTTTGAGACTGAGCTGTATTTTTTAGAAATGGAAAAGTTAAGGTGCTGCACGAAATATCAAGAATTATAAGTAGATACAGATAGAAAGATCATAAAAATACCATCCTCCATTTCTCAAGGAAAATAGTCTCAGCTACTATCCATTTTTCTTTAACCAATACAATTTATGAGACTCCTTAATGAATTGCTTAAACTTAGATATTTTGCACTGGTAATTTTAACCATCAGTAGTAAAATATCAGAGTCTTTCAGGACCTATTTCACTGATTGAGCTATTAATTTAAGTGGTATCAAAACACAATTTGAAATAATTGTTTTTACATTTTTAATATCTGCTGATATTTGTGATGCACTAAAATAACATTAGTAAGCCTATGTATGTTTAATTTAATAATAATCTGGGCAACACCTTTTCTTTTACACTTACAGACTATTTACTGAATGGCTGCCAGGACTGACTAACAAAAAGCAAGCTTTATCTTAAATCTCTCTTCAGCAAACGAACTAATTAAATTTTTTTGCCTGATACTCTTATAAAGAATTCTATTCTATTATTCACAACCTATCAAACTGTCCAAGAATTTATAGAATGCAAGTAGTTTGTCATCTGTCCTCAATGTGGTTTTTAACTGGAGGCATACATATTTAATTTCTTAAAATTCCAAAAAACTACAATATTTTCCCAGAACAGAAAGTTAATAATTAGTGAGTTAAAACATTAATGAGCTTTAAAACACATGTGTTATTACTATTCCAACATTAAAATAAGGTGTCTAGAATTATAGTAATAACATTGTATTGCTCTACTTACATTCACTAGTTTCACTAACTGATGCTTAAGGCTATCTCATCTCTACTTGTCTAAATTTTGTAAGCACGCCTCCTCTCAGCAATGCCAAATGTTTGTACTAAAACTAATCTCCCAAGAAATAAAAAGGAATTCAGATCATAACCACTGCTTGTTAAGAATTTTCTAAGTGTTAAAGTATATTAGACAATTGTTCAGTTTAAATTTAGGATTTCTTTGCTCTTCATTCAGAATCTTTATAACTTTTGTAAATCCTTTATTGTTACAATCTCAATTTTTAAGATGTGAAAAAACTAGGGTACAATAAACTAAAAGCAGATGCTTCAAAACAGCACCTTCTACACAATACTACCACAATTCCACTATGAACTACTTTAAAAAAAACCAACTCTATTTGAATCTGCTTCAACATTTTGACGACTATGAATCGAGTTCCAAAACAGAAAGCAACTACCTTAAAAAGCAGCTAAGAGCCAGCTAATCCCACCCAAGCTTTGAAAATAAGCTGCCAGGTAATATAATAATGATCAATGAAAACCTTCTAGGAATACAAAACAAAACATTTTAAGACATTTAAACAATTTCTCAGAACCTACCTTCATGACACAGAATTGTTAAGAGAGCCTGGAGCTGTATACAGCCCCAAAAGAAAAGATCAAACAAAACAGACTTGCTTTATGTTTTCCCCAGATTTATGCAGTAGTTCCTCCCTTCCATGTTATGTTAGCCAGCAAGTCTTTTTCCAATTTAGGAAAAAGCACTCACCAAGAACATTTCCTGAGTCTCTGGGCTCCTTTTCGAGAATTAAAGTCTATACGATTTTCCTGGGGAGAGACAAGGATGAAAAATTCTAGATAGGAACAAGAAGAGGATTTTTCATACAGGTCTTACCATTTTTTCAACTTCTAATCAATCCAAGGCTCCCCCCTCCCCTCTTTTTCTGACTTAGCCGAACCAAGGGAAGGTTTTTGTTATGGGTCAGCTCCGGTAAGCGTGCACTTGGAGGAATGCATCAGACAAGAGTCAGCTAAGCAATCATTAAAACAAATGAGAAGGTAAGGAATAACGAGGGGACAAAACAGAACTGGCTTCGTTTCACTTCCTTCTCAGAGTAGACGCAACAAGACCGGACAGAGCACGTGGCAGCACTTCGGGGGAGGGGGAAGAGCAAAGGAGACGCAGACGGTGGCCTGGGGCGGTCAATTACGTCATATAGCGTTAATAAATGAGAGAAAAAAATAGGGTATGGACTGGGCCGTTACCTGGGAGCCGCCCTGAACCGCGCTCTGCCCGCTGCTGCGGTGCTGGGCACACCTAAATGGTGCCATGCCCCACAACGGTGGGGGAGGCTCCGGTTCAGGCCGAACTCGTTCCACTTCTGTTCCGCGTAACCTCCTCAACGCCGCCGTCATTACGGACTCTCAATTAGTATTTATTTCCCCCCCACCTTGTAAAGCAGTGCGCCTGTTCACCAAGCGACCAATCACAACGATCAACACACCTCTTCGCCTTCGATTGGCTATTTGCGATATTCCCGGATGTGGGGAAAGCGGTAGGGTTTTGCTAAAGAAACAAACGCTGCTGCTGACGTCAATAAGTGGGGACCACTCTTCAACGTCGCTGGGAATGTTATCCAATCAGCTAGTCTGAGTTAAAAGAAACTTTCAATTAACTCTTAAAGCGCCGGGGAAAAAAAAAGAGGAATTCGGATTTTGTTTAGAGCCAAGATGAGAAATTCCCCTCCCCCCTTTTGTCATTTGTTATTTATTCTACATAGCAGGATTTACCTTCAAACTTTATTTCAGAAGAGGAATATTGTCATGGGTTGAGCATGGTTTATCCCACAAATAACAAATTTGGAGGGCCATTGGAGAGTCCCCATCAAAACAAGATTGGGGACAAAACAGAAATTAAATAATATTGTATAGGTTGTGTAACTATCCAGGCACTTGAAAGAGAATTTTGAACGGGGATTTTATGCCCAGGAATATTTTTATATTATTTTCTTTTAAATAGTTTTAAAATATAGATTGTCTCTACTGTACATGTTAAGAACATTCAGCAGACTTTCAATTAACCGAGTTTGCAGTAGTATTTGAAGCCATTTTGACCGTTACATATATATCTGCGGGAGAGCAAGTTAGGAAATCCAGTCAAGGCTTTCTTAGGCTGAACACAATAGGACAAATGGCATACAAATATTTAAGTATGTTTTTTGCCTTCTATTTTATCCTTAAAATGAGTGGCATACAAATACTGTACATATCTTTACATCAATGGTAGACCAGTGTAAATAAAAATCACAATAATAAAATAATAGCAATAATAAAATCTATGCATACAAATAATACCTTAAATTTAGGGTTATAAGAATGTAATATGAAACACTATTTTAAATAAGAATTCTTAGTTTTTGTAATACTGTTGAAAAAGTAAGAATATAAAACAATAGAATAGAGCCAGTTTGATGTAGTGGTTAAATTCAGCTCCCACCCAAAGCCAGCTAGATGATCTAGGGTCATCCTTCTCTTAGCCCTAAGGAAGTAGAAAATGGCAAACTCCTTGAGAAAACCATGCCGAGAAAACTGTAGGGACTAGTTCAGGCACCATTTGGAGTAGAATAATATAAGAGCAAAAGGATAAAATGAATGTGCAATTATAACCCAAGGTCACCCAGTGATCTTCGGGCTGAGTTAGGATCCTGCAAGCTTGCATATACATCAGTTTTAGAACTGGGATCATAGCATCCTAAATGTTGGTTTATTGAATAAAACACATCAGGTGAACTCTCACGTCCTACAGACCAGAGTATAGCAGGCTTTCCACAACAAACCAGGTTTGCACGTGGTTTACTGACCCCGCTGAAGCCCAAATCCCGAGGGGGGGGGTAGGAGCTCCTGACCGGCGGGCGCAGCCGAGATCCCTTTCCGATCCCGTCTTTGACTGCGCTCCAGCCAGCCGGGCGCGGCCGCTCCCGACCCCTCCGCCCTTCCCTGTCCGCCTATTTAAGGGTCGAGGCCGGCGCCGCCAGACTCACTCCTGGGAACTCCCATGCGCACCAATTCGCCGCCGGGCACGGGTCCCCCTTTGTCTCCCCGCCCCGCCGGAGCTTGTGCTTCCGGACCGGGCGGGGAGAGGGCAAGAGCAGGTTCCGCTTCTCCCAGGGCCGATGCAGGCGGCGGAGCTTCCGCTGCGTCCGCGGAAAAAATGAATTATATGCCGGGCACGGCTAGCCTCATCCAAGATATCGACAGTGAGTTGCGCGCCGGGCGCCCCGCCTCAGCACGGCGTCCCTTTGCGCCTGGCGGGTGGCTCCTTGCAAAACCAGCCGGTCTTTCTCCTTTTCTCGGGTTTTGAACCAGCTTTCTTTCCACTTCTCTCCTCCAGATAAATGCCTTTGCTTTAGGAAATGGCACTGCACTAATTTAAGCTCCGCTGCCGTACAACCTGGCTGGCATGCACGCATGCATGCATGGCGGCAGCAGGCAGGGGTAGGGCCATGAATGCGAAGGGCGTAAAAAGGGGGAGAGACCCCACTTTCCAAAAAGAGAGGCATGGAGCGCTGCGTTGTGGCTGATTTCGGTTTGAAGGATTTGCGGCTGGCGAGCTTTCTGTATAGTAGCACGGACACCTCTCTCTGGTTTTGGAGGGTGTGTGGCGGATACCTTGGCACTACCTTCCTGCTTTTTCTTCTCTTTTCTGCCTTGAAAGTGGCTTGTAAAGGCTTTAACTTGACTTGCGGTGTGCTTTGAGCAAGTTAATTGAAATCATTGTTAATGGGATAAGCTACAGTTGGGGAGTTTTGCACAATATCCTAAGTTGTAACCCATAGTTTCAAAGCCACTGGTGATTTTTTACAAAAGTTGGGAGGGTTGAAGCCCGTTTGTTTCCTACATACCTACCGGAGACATTGAAACATAAGTCAACCATGTTTTACACTAGCAATGTTTTCATGATAGTTTCCTTCAGTGATATGTTTGTGAATGGCTTTTAAAGGCAAACATCCTTGCAATGCTGGTCAAAAGATAACCCCATTTTAGATATATTTGTACATAATCACCTGAACCACAAAATAGCTGGTTATATTTTTAGACTAGCATGTTGCATATGTGCAGTCCATATGGTATGTTTATGCTGCACTGTGCAAAAGAACCCCTGAACACTGAGCGGAGTAAACCATAGTTTATGGTGTTATAAGCATAAAATGTGGCAGACTGTTAATGCTGTAAAATCCAACACTTTAAAAATGGTGTGAACTAGGTTTTCAGTTAAGTTAGAGCAAATGAGGAAGAAAAAGCAAATTCAAGCAATGAAAATCAAATCCAAACAGGTTAATTGGATTCCTCACCTCTCTGCTTGTACAGTGAATCTGATCATTCTTTATAATTCCAAATAGCAAACCTAAGCGACAAGCATTCTTATAGAAAACAACACAGTAAATATATTTTGCAAAACTCCAAGGCTCATAGATTTTCAGAACTAGAAAAGCAAATTAATGGGATTTTCCTCTCTTTTTTCCCTCTCCAGAGAAACACTTGGTCCTCCTTAGAGATGGCAGAACACTGATTGGATATTTACGCAGCATTGATCAGTTTGGTATGCCAAACCATTCTCTTTTCGTTTATGTACCTTTTGATGGTCCTTCACACAGCTAATATTTTGCCAAAGCCAGGAGTTCAAAGAAAAAAAAAGATTGAGGAAAGAACAGGGAGGAAAAGAAAAAAAAAGTGACATTTTATTTTGAATATACTTAATAGCACTTATTGCTGACAGAGTATAATTATATAGAATCTGTTTGGTGTAATGTGAAGACATCAGGAGACTGTGAATTTTAGTCCTGCCTTAGATGCAAAGCCAGTTGGGGTTTCTCTTAGCCCCAAGAAGGAGGCATTGGCAAACTACATGCAAAAATTTTGCTAAGAAAACTGCAAGGATTTGTCAATGGCATCAATGGAGACCTGGCATCAAAACTGATTCAAAGAAGAAAATGTCAAAGACATTCCTAGATTAAAATCAAAATAAATGATTGGGTTCCTAGGGTACCTTCAAAATAAGTTTTCCAGCAAATAATTTTTTATTCTGCCTTTGCTGCAGGAATTCAAAGCAGTGTACATGGAATTCATTCCTCTTTTTTTTTTTTTTTGCTCCACAATAACCCTGTAGAATTTTGTTTCATGGCTTCTGGGGAAAAGTTGGGGTTCAGAAATCATCCCAGGCTCTCCCAAGCTTAGTTTTCATGCGGTATTATTGTTCTAAAGTCTAAACCATCAGATGACCAGAAAGATTGGTCAGAAATCTGAGTATTCAACATCAATTAATAAAGCACTGGATTAGTGTGAGATGGGGGAAGAGAACTGCATTCCAATACCCTTTTTTGACTAATGTGTGTGAACATCCCCAAAAATCATATCACTGGAATGCAGCAGCAAATAGAAACTTATTTTCGAAAGCAGGAGTGACTTTTGAGAGGCAAACTTCTCCCCTTTAAAATCTGTACCCGGCCTGACTTTATGCTACTGGAATTCAGTTGCTTTGCTATGGAATTTGATTTTCAGCTGTTAGTTGTTAATTCAGGCTTTTACGTACATGAATACATAAAAGTCCAGCTTGCTGCTGAATTCTGCTGTACCACTAGAGGGTAGCAAATGGTACAGAAGATCAAGACTTAGGCATGCTTCTAATTGGGTTTAGAGAGCTTCACTTGGACAATCTGATTGTAAGAATCATAAAAGTAGTTTCTGTTCTTAGATTAGAAGTGCATTGCTATGGGATTGTTTATCAAGCTTGTTTTTCTTCGTGCAGATGGGAAACATCTGTAAAAAGAAAAATAGGCTCAGAATACCAAGAATTCAACAATTCAGTTCTGAGCGACATATAATCCCCAGTATTGTATACTACTATTTTAGAGCTTAGGCTAGTTCTGGTATACTAAGAATTGAACAAAAATAACAAGCGCCAGGATTGACCCAACTCTCAGATTTAATTTAGAAGTCTGTATTCTTTGGTAGAGGCCCAATAGGTCATCCTCCTTTTTCTCTATTTTTATTTTTTCTTTTCTGTGCTGGAGAAAGTTGGAAAGAAGTTTATATAAAGAGGCATGGGACTCTTTATTTGTATGTCTATAAGCAGTATAATTGTCTAACAACTGAATAGAATGGAACAAAATTGGGTGCGGGATGAGAAACTGCTAAAAGAAATACTGAGTTTGAAAATGGATTAGAAAAAAGGAGACTGCAGAAGAAAAAGACTTCCTGTGCGTCTCTGATATTGATCAACGATTGAAATGTTTGCTACTGTACCATTCTAAGCTGCTATGGGCATAGGACTTAAGGCTCTTCCTGTGTTTACCTATGTAAGCATCCCCACAAATGGAGAGCAAAACCCACAGAGATGCAACTTATATTTATTTACATTTACAGAATAAAATGTTGACACTGTACTTCTACAGACATTATCAGCAAAGGACTTGGAAAAGAATTTCAGAAACCATGTTCTGTAGGGCTTCCCTAACTTATTCTTTAATTTATAGTGGTTTGTAATCTTGGTGGGGTTGACCAGAGGAACAGAACTGAAATAGTATATTGTGCCTATTTTCTGGAATGAAAATAAGTAGTGGTGTTCATATATTTCTGTGGCCTGATGTTAATATTTGCTATATGGTCATGGAGCAGAAGTCTTGAAAGGTTCTCCAGATGTGGGATTATTAAATAATGCTTGTCTGCAAATAATCAAATCCCACTAGTGGTTGGGTAGGCATACCATTATTGCTGCATTTGACCATATCCTTACAAGTAAACCTACAAATAATTGCAAGTGATCCTGTACTGACATGCTGCGGTTTGGATTTAATGCTGAAAATATGTTTTGGGATAAGCACACATGGTACATCTATTGGAATCTCCTTATAGAATCTGCAGGTTTTGTTTTGCTCGGCTTACACAGTAGTTGTGCAAACCCAGGAAAATCACACCAGTTAAGGAACACTGACATGTATATTTCAAGTACCTTGTTTCATCTTTCACCGTCTTCATAGGTCAAATCAGGGTGGATTTGATTTAAATCAAGTAGATTTAAATCATAATTTTTAAAGAGCAACTGTCATCTCTGTCCCACAGCAGCTCCTCCTCTGACCTGCTGTTGACTCACTGACAGTCCCAATATTGCAGAGTATACAGCTTCATGCTACATAATTAAGCTCCATTTCATGCTGAATAAACTAAATTATTAATGTATCTTAAATAGAAAACTATCTTTAGATAGATTTTTACTCCAAAAGCATTTTATTAAGATAAATTTAATAAAAAATTAAAAATCCAATTTAAATTTTAAAAATCAAATTTTTTAATCAATTTTTATCCACCCTGGCTCAAATGCATTTTTTAATGGCAATATATTGTATGAGCCCAGAGAAAGATACAACTGCTTAACTGCCAACAGATATGGATGCATCTCAGTTCCGCTTTGCAAAATCTTTTTGGCTTCAGATCCAATATGTACAATATAATTTTTTTTCCTGAACAATGCCTAGCATTCTGCAATTTCATGCTGGCCATATAGGGCAGCAAGCCCCCGACCTACATCCAACCTGGAAGCTGATGGTGCCGATTTGTTTGTAGGTTAGTCCCTTTTGGGCTGAAAGAATGGGAAACATTGTTCTGTTATCAGCATGTTTATTTACACGTATGGAAATCCTGCACATCTTTGGCTAGCAGATGAATTAGATGGTAAATTTGTGTTAGATGCCAGATAGAGTTTGGATTTGCATACCTCTGTACAGAATAGACTTCCTGTTGGAAAAAATGAGGGATGTCAACTATGATTTTGATTTTGCTATGCATATGAAATTCTGAAGAAAGGCAACTTAGTGAGAAAAGCATAGAAAAATAGACATTGGGATCTGCAACTGAAACAATCACTAAGTGAAACTATGCTGATCTTCCTTCAGCTGTCCTTTCCTTTACAGAACCGAAAAGGTCATTAATGCAGAGGCTGGTTGTAAAGTTACTTTTGCATCTTAAACACAAACAGTTGCTAAACGAGGCAATAACTAAGCAAGGACTACCTATGGTATATGCTTTCTGATTGTACACCTCTCCAAATGAACAATTATTTGCTAAGACCTTATTTGTAAATGGCCACATTTACTTTCATGATCCTATAATCTCCTGATTACCAAGCTGAGAAGCTTTTGTAAATGGCTTGTTAACACCTTTAAAAATGATGGATTGTTCTCAGATCACCAAAATTGAATGTTGGAGGTGTGTACTCTTGGATTCACATGAAAATTTAATTCTGACTTAACATGGAATGTCACTCCAAGCCATTTTGTTTATGACTTATTGTATGAACTGTGGATTATTTAACAAACAGTAGTCAAGGGAACTCTGATTTCAAGCAATGTGCAAACAGACACTAGTCTTTCCTGACTTTCATTTCAGTACCCTAGAATGCAAGTACAATATTTCCTGTCTACAACTGTTTACCAGAAAGTTAGGGGTCATTTTTTGCCTTGTTACTAGAGAGCTGAAAGCTTGAGATGGTCCTTTCTGCCTGTGTTCTCCTGCTGTTTGTGTTAACATTGGAAGTGTTGAATAGGAATATTAGAGAAGATAAAGAAATAAAAGGAATGAAAATCCAAAAGGAAGAGTATAAATTACAAGCTTTTGCAGATGACCTGGTATATTAGAAGACCCATTGGAAACAGCACCTAAATTAATAGAAAAAATAGAATATGGAAAAGTAGCAGGTTTGAAAATAAACAGATAAAACAAAGATACTAACAAAGAATATGCTAGTAAGACGAAAGAAAGAGTTGGAAGAAGTTTTAGAAATACAGGTCACCAAAAAAAAGAAAACTCTTGAGTAATGCAATATAAGTTGAGGGGTCTTTGGTGCTCTCTGAGCTTGGCTGTTTTTTCGTTAGACACTGATGATGTTATCTAGTTGGGATAATGAAATGTTTACAAGAAAACAACCAGGCTCAGAGAGCAAAAAGCCCCCCTAATTTCAACCCTGAGCTACAAATATTCTCCTTTTTTGGGAATATAATATAAGCTACATATATGACAATGGTGTGTTTTTTAGGGACATACCAAAAGAAAATGAAACACCATCATGTTTGTAAAAAGCACTATAAAGGATATCTAAAGAGCGTAAACTATCTCATTGAGTTGTTGGATGAATAAAATAAGGTGAAGATTCACCTCTTACCTGTTGGAAGAAAAACACAGGTCTCATAAGTGCTAAATAGAAACAATGCTTCCAAAGCCAGACAACCAAGAGGAAATATTTGCTAATTAGTATTATTTGCTTACCTCTTTAGAACGCATTGCATAGAAATGCAAAGGTGGAAGGTTGCAGACTTCCTTTACAAGCAGCCACACATTTCATCACTCTTTCCTTCTCCCTGAACTTTCAGCAAATCTGGTTTTGCACCAAACAGTGGAGCGCATTCATGTGGGCAAAAAGTATGGTGACATCCCTCGTGGCATCTTCGTAGTCAGAGGCGAGAATGTTGTGCTCCTGGGAGAAATTGTAAGTCAGCAACTTGTTTTTCTTTATTCAAAGAATCACAGGCCTCGGAGCAGAATTCTGGGAGTTGAAATTCTTACAGCTTAAAGTTGCTATGGTTGAGAAACACTGCTACAACTTAATTGATATTAGCTGACCCAAATTGGGATTAAAAGCACTTGTAGGTTGATCTGTCTGGAGATCATAAGGTTGCAGACCATTAGGAGTTTTTTATTCTTTAGAAAGGTAAAGGTTTCCCTGTCCAGTTGTGTTTGAATCTAGGGCATGGTGCTCACCTCTGTTTCTTGGCTGTGGATCCAGCCAAAATGAAGACATTTTCAGCGGCCATGTGTCCAACATGGCTAGATGCCAAAGGCGCACAGAATACTGAAATGATACCTATTTATCTACTTGAATTTTCATGCTTTCAAACTGCTAGGTGGACAGGAGCTGAGGCAAGGATGGGAGCTCACCCTGTTGCACAGAGCTTGGGCCTCAAACTTGGACTGTCAGCTCTCCAGCTGACAAGCTCAGCATCTTTAACCGTTGAGTCATCCCTCCACTCATTTTATTTTTATTATTTATTGTATGATAAATTGTATCTTTAAGTGATTTTTTTAAAATTGAGAATTGTTTGATAATGTAGTGTAGAACAGAGGCACTGAACATACCTGTACAAATTCACAGCATATGTGCTTTGTGTCTCAGAGGGAAGAAACAGCAATTTCTTCCCAGTTTCAAGCCCTGAAATATTGACTCTCTTTCTACTGCAGGACCTGGAAAAGGAAAGTGATACCCCTTTGCAGCAAGTCTCGATAGAGGAAATCTTGGAAGTTCAACGGGTAGAGCAGCAAACGAAGCAAGAATCAGACAAGTTAAAAATGCAAGCGCTGAAGGAGCGAGGCCTGTCCGTTCCGAGGGCTGATACATTAGACGAATACTAAGTATTTACCTGAACTGTCTCCCAAAGATTGAGGAGACTGTGTACTGAAGTGCCCAAGGGATGGACAACTATTTTTTTATTATTATTATTTCAGATTCCTTCCTCAGTCCAGAAAACGGTTGGATCACCATGATGTAAACCGTAGTTCTTCCCATTTCACGAAAAATCATTTTTGAAGATTAAATATAATCCAGCATGATGAAGCAGCTATAAAAGAGAAGGCTGGTTTAGGACATTTTGTTTAGTATTTTTTTAAATACAGGAATGATTTCTGGAAGAAGTGGGGAAATAACACCCTCTAGCCTGTAAATAAAAGGTGATTCTAAACACTGCTGTAAGCCAAGGTGAAAGCACTACTGAGAATTTGTCTTTTTTGGTCAGGGCATTTTTCTAGGGGGACAGAGAAGTGACAAAAAAACACTTTTGTCTTCTGAACTGGGCTGATGGAGACTTTAAAACCCTCAAATAGGAGGGGGAAGGTTTGACAGGAGCATCTGAGTTCTTGTTTGTGAAAAGTTCTTAATGGCCTCTGAGCTTGATTGTTTGCTTGCAGATGTTTCAGTATAGAACCAGGTAACATCACTGATGAAGATGTAACATCTGCAAGCAAACAACCAAGCTTAGGTAGCACCAAGAATTCCTGAGCTACAGATATTCTCTTCTATTTGCTTTTATCTGTAAGATTGCAGAATGAGGATTGGAAGAGACCTTGGAGGTCTTCTAGTCCAATCTCTGCTCAGGCAGGAAACCCTGTACCATTTCAGACAAATGATTTGTCCAGTGTCGTCTTAAAAGCCTCCAGTGATGGAGCACCCACAAGTTCTGGAGGCAAGCCATCCCACTGATTCATTGTTCTCACCATCAGGAAATTTCTCCTTAGTTTTAGGTTGGATGATTTTTTGATAAACTTCCATCTGTTCTTCCATCTGCCCTCAGGTGCGTTAGTGAATAGGCCATCCCCTCTTCTCTGTGACAGCCCCTCAAATATTGGAAGACTGCTATCATGTCACTGCTATTCTTCACTAGACTATATGTACTCAGTTCCTGCAGTCATTGTTCATATGATTTAGCCTCCAGACTGCTAATCATCTTTGCTGCTCTTTTCTGCACTCTTTCTAGAGTCTCATCATCTCTTTTGTATTGTGATGACCAAAATTAAATGCAATCATGCAAACAGCCGTTGACCAGAAAGCAAGAAGTAAGATGGTTCCTGCCATTTCTTCTAGCTCTCAAGGATGATCCCTGTTAATTCAGTTTAGTCTTATTTTCTTGGCAATTGAGCTCACTTTCAAATAAAGGCAGGTTTCTTTTGCTTCCCTTGCTGTATCCTGAGAAGACCCTGGAGCACTTTAAAAAACAAGAGTAAATACTAGAATTGACATGTCACAGCAGGTCAGTGTCTTATTTGCTTTAAACAGTGTTTTAAACAGTGGAAAAAAAAAATAAAAGCCGGGTGAGGCAGAGATTTAGCAAGATCCAAAATTGATTTTACGTGGAAAAATTGACACTTCCCCTTGCAGTCTGTTACTTGACACAGCATTGTTTTCCTTAAGCAATGCCCAAGATGTGACCCACAGGGCAATATTGATGGCAAAGGACCTTTGGGGGTTGAGATGGGAGGGAAAATTCTTTTTACAGGTTTTTACTGCCAAGCAGCAGGCTTGCGGTATTCTCTGCTTCTCAATTTAGTTTAATTTAGGTGATGCCTAATAGCCCTGAATGCCTCCTGAATGGAACTGGAAAAGATACATGAATAATATATAAGCTGCCAGCGTGGAGTCCTGCCTACTTTTGCCTGTGATAGTTACCAACATACATCCACAAGTTTAAAAAAAAGTCCACAGGGGGAAATCAAGCAGCTTGGAAACCTCTCATTCTGACTTGGTGTATATTGAAGAGAGTCCCTGTAGCCACAGACCTCAGGCTGCTGTTTTAGCCTATATGGTAACTGTAGGTTTGTTTGTTTCTGTGTCCAAACAAAAACAGCACAATTCTGCATGCAATGGAGCAGAATGTATCTATTTCCCCAAATCCTGGTTTTTGTCTTGCAAACTGTGCACGACATTAGCTTCATGTACTTCTTTCCTTCTCCAGAGTGTAATGCATTAATTTTCCCTGCTGCCCCTTGTCATTTCAAATTAGTATTTGTATTACTATCATTGTATTTAAGGGCTTCAACTTTAAAACATCCTAGTTCAGACTGAACATGCTGCTAATTCATTAACCGTGGTTTGCCCATTGAATCTATAGGGACCCATTGAACTATCTACTCATGTTTGTGAACCAGCAAGTTCATAATGGGCTTGATCGATCCCATATCTAGCAAGCTATCCTCAATTCATTCCTTACAAATTGGCCTATTGTTCAAGATCTCACTGGTATCTATAACACCTTCGCAGCATTGTAGGAAAGGTGTGTAAGGGCAACCTGGCTGTGGAATTCTGGGAATTGAAGTCCACACAACCTCAAGTTGCCAAGGTTGAGAACGCTGATCTATGGTGGTGAAAAATCAGGAAGAGCCTGTTAGTACTTTTTCTGAATGAGCAAATTTTGTTAAAAACACCTGCCTTCATGAGCTGCAGCAGATGCATAGATTGGCTAGACTTGTTCTTTAGAATATGATGAGAATATCACAGAAGTAAACATATACACACAATTCATGCAAGTATATACAAAACTTCCACAGGAGTATATGTCAGTGGCCTCATAACTGTATGTCTAGTTCTGCTATTCAGGCAATTGCCTCTCAAGTTGTTTCATCAGATTTTCTAGGGAACCAGGGAATGTTCATTCCTGGCTAGACTTGATACTGGCATCTTGGACTTAACAACAGTCCGTATAGTGTAGTGGTCGCCAACCAGTGGACCAGGGACCACTGGTGGTCCATGAGAAAATTTTGGTGGCCTGCAGAGAAATGTCACCCCCAAAGCACCCCCCAAAGTTTAAAAGACCCCCCAAAACAATCCAGGCTGCGCGGGAACACAAGGTTGCGCTGCCCACATGGCCTGTGGGAATACAAGGCTTGCGTCACTTGCATTGCAAACAACAAGAGGTAGTGGTGGGGGGAAGGGCAGAGAGGGGGAACTTGCCCCACTCGCCTGGCCTGGCCAGGCCACCGGGCTGCTGCTTTCCGCTTCTTCTGTTTTTGTCTTCACACAAGGAAAGCAGCAAAAGTCTTTCTTTCTCTCCTCAAAACTCCACCAGAAATGAGTCTTTGATACCTTTGCAAGGCATCCTGCTCCAAGAGGCTGCACCAGCAAAGACTAATTTCTGGCAGAGTTTGGGGGAGAAAAAGAAAGACGACTGCTGCTTTCCTTGCATGAAGCCAAAAGTCTCTCTCTCTCTCCCTTCCCCCCCTTGAGAACGGAGCTGGAGACGGTATCCTGCGATCCCAAATAAAGAATAATCGATTGGTAGGAAAACAGGATGGGGAATTTTCCTGCAGACTTTTTGGGGGATTTTCCCAGGATCTCTGGTCTGCGGGATTTAAAATTATGAGTTTGGTGGTCCCTGAGGTCCAAAAGGTTGGTGGCCCCTGATTTAGACAATGTTCAAAGTTACGAAGGCATTGGAAAATGTGATTTTATGACTGTTTTTCACAGTTACAACCTTTGCAGCCTCTCAGTGATCATGTGATCAAAATTCAGCTGCTTGGCAAGTGTTTCATACTTATGACTGATGCTGTTTCCCAAAGTCATGTGATCACCTTTTGCAACCTGAGAAGCATAGTCGATGGGGAAGCCAGATTCACTTAAAAATCGGATTACTAATATATCAAGTACAATGATTCACTTAACCACCGTGGCAAGAAAGGTTCGTAAAATGGGCAAAACTCACTTTTAACAAATGTCTCACTTAACAACAGAAATTTTGGGCTCAATTGTGGTCATAAGTCGAAGACTACCTGTACAGGATTAAACCTAGGAGGTTGCTTTCATTGTGTCCCTGGCTTGGAGCTGATGATGAAGGGTGTCCTTAATCTGCAACCACACTAGTGTCAAAGTAGCACCTTTCTCTTTATCCTGATGTCTGCTAATAGCCTAAATGTCTATGACAAATTCTAGGCTTTTGCCATGCATTATTTTGGAGAGGAATTGGGGCTGACCAAGAATGGAGACAGGATAGGGGTCTCCAACATGGAATTTAATGCCATTATTATTTTGTATTGACTTAATAACAGGTCCAATTTCAGTACAAGGGTGAAAGCAGAGGTATTCAGCAGGTTCTGACCAGTTCTGGAGAACTGGTAGCGGAAATTTTGAGTAGTTCAGAGAACCGGCAAATACCACCTCTGACTGGCCGCACGCCTATCTATTCTCTGCCTCCTGAGTCCCAGCTGATTGGCTGGGTCTTCTTTGGTTGCCCTGCACAGGAGAACGGAGCTGGAAAGCAGGCTAGTGGGGCGGGGAGGGAATGGAGATTTTGCAGTATCATTCCCCTGCCATTTGCACCAAGCTACACCCATTGAGTCATGCCACGCCCACCAAGCCACACCCACAGAACTGGTAATAAAAAGTTTTGAATCCCACCACTGGTGAAAGGTCCTCAGACTTGAGTGAATGAAGCATAAATGGGAAGATCCTTCAATGTGCAATTAAAGTCAGAGTTATGGGGCTTTCTGACACTAGTATACAGACCGTTGTAAACTTGAGTGTGCGCCTTTATGCAAGCCGTTAGAGCAGGGGTCCCCGACCTCCAATTCCGGGAAAAGCTCCACGGAACCAGTCCCTGGTGCCCAAATGTTCGGGGGCCATTGCATTGGAGCAGAGGTCTCCAAACTTGGCAACTTTAAGACTAGTGGACTTCAACTCCCAGAATTCTCCAGCCAGAGAATTCTGGGAGTTGAAGTCCACAAGTCTTAAAAGTTGCCAAGTTTGGAGACCCCTGCGTTAGAGAGCCAACCTTTGCTTGCCCAAACTTTCAAGCCCTTCCCTGCCAAACTACATTTCCCAGCAGGCACTCGAGAACCATTTTTTTTTTTTAAAGGTGGGACGGAGGCGATTACATAAGTCTTTCGAACGTTGACACATCGGAGCCCTCCCTCCACCCCGTGGGTGGCGACGTCACCAACTCCGAGCCCCGCCCTCTTGGAACGTTTTGTAGCCAGCTTGCTCGCGACGGGCTCTTTCTAGTATCCCTGCTATTTCCTGCTGGGACAGAAAGATTCCAGAGGTCTTGCCTTTCGCTTTCCACCCCCTCCTCTCTCTCTCTCTCTCTCCGCTCTGCGTCGGCGGGAAGAATTCCCTTTGAAGTGGCTTTCTCCCTTTTGGAAGGACCCCCCTGATCGGTACTTCTTTGGGCGGGGGGCGGGAGGCGCGAGAGGAAGCATCGCGCGCCCCTCAATTCCGCCTGCTGCACATCGACCGGGGCTGAGCCTTAGCTAGTTTTTCCCCTGCCCCCCTTCCCGGGCATGCTTTGCTGGACAGGAGGGTAAGGGGGTGGGATTTTTTCCTCAGCGCTGCTGCCGACCCCCTCCGCCCGCCCCAGGCGAAGAGCTTCACCGGCGCCGGAAAGCCGAGGATACGGCTGGCGGAGGGGGGGGGGACGAAGGAGCGCGGCTAAAGAGGATTTCTTCTCCTGCCTGGATTTGCATTGCGGCGGTTGTTCCAACGGTCGGGGAAGAAGATCCTGCTTCCCCCCTCACGCCCTGCCGGGTCTCAGTTCGATCTTCCTGCGAGCAGCCGCGAGCCAGCGCTGGGCTGGAGGGATGTGATACCTGGAGGTCCAGGATGCTGGCGGCCTCTTTTTAAAAAGCCGGAGGAGAACATCAGCCTTTCGAATTACGACTGCGGAAGAAACAGCCGCTTCTCCCCTCCAGCACCTTGATTTTCTGGTCCGGTTTCTCCTCCTCCCATCCCCTTCCCTCCTCGCCCCTCTGTTGTTTCTCTTCGGGATTCTGCCGCACCGCAGCATCTTCCAAGCTGGAGCACCATGGAGCTGGAGAACATCGTAGCCAATACAGTTTTACTGAAAGCCAGAGAAGGTAAGAGAGTCGGGCAGCCGAAGCGAGGCAGAAGCATAAGAGTTGTTGGGGGGGGGGGGGGGGGGGGGGGGGGGGGGGGGGAGGAGCAGAAAGGGGGGTGGGGGGGGGGGGGGCGGCAGGCAGGCAGGCAGGCAGGGGAGCCGGTGGCGGTTTCCGAAGAGCGTCGCGCAATTTGAGTAGGGGAAAAAAGTTGAGCCAGCGCACCCACTTCTGGCCGGCAGATTCTCTGAATGGAGTTGCCTTCTGCAAATCTGTTGAGGGAAATGAATAATTTGTAGGATATTTGCATTTTTTTTTTTAAAAAAAAGAAAGCCTTGTGTGGCTGCCCTGGAATTTACACAACTCTTCCGTCATCTCCTCCTGAGTTTTATTTCCACAATGCTCCTGCAGGGTGGCTTGCTCTTAGAGCTAGAGAGTGGTCCATTGTCACCCAGTAAGACTGGCACCAAGATTTCAACCATGATTCTCACTGAACATCCCTGCAATCATAGAAGGGCAGCCAAAGGAATAGATCCAGAGTTGTGGGCTGCTGGTGAGGTACCATAATTTAAATCCAGAACTGGGGGCAGAGAGGATTCATTTGACTTTGATGTGTTGACTTCATCTTAATGATATTCATGGATATAAATTTATGAATTATAAAGTTACTTTGAGAGTTAAATCCAAAGGGATATATGCAGTGCATATTTTTGAAAATTCCAAATGGAAGTAAAGTATGTTAAAAATCTTTAAAGGTAGTTGCTATGTTCTATAGGTGTTCTATAAGTGAGACTTTAACTGACTAAAAGGTTCTTAAACATACACACATGCTCTTTAGATTTGCAGGCTTGTCAGAAATGCCCTGGGCAAGATGCTACAAAGAAGTTGTTTTGCGCTGAGATGGGCAACAAATAAAATATGTAAGAGTGTGACTTTAATAATAGCAGTGATGATGCTGTAGCCTTTTTGATGAGCCATAAAATCGAAGAGCAAGTTTCATTATCTTTTAAAAAATGTTTTAAATTAAGAACATTGGATAAAATATTGAATTTGTGCCTGGGTCTAAATCCCAGTTTATTGATTTATGCACAAAATGGTTAGCCTTTATTTTACCAGTGGGAAGGCGAATTGCCTGTTTGGAATGGTGCCAAAGATCAGAAAATTAAAGGCTACAAAATTAATTGTTCCAATACGAGAGAATATATGCAGCTCAGAGTTGACCTGTGGAGTCCTTGATATTCTCAGAGTTTAGTTATTTTCTTGCAGACATTTCATTACACGACTTCTTAACATAATCAGTGCACTGATGTTACCTAGTCAGATAATGAAGCATCTGCAAGCAAACCACCAAGTTTGGAGAGCACCACAAAATAGTTAGTGTTCTAAAATATATTTTTCACTATAAATATCAATTTTATTCTGTTGTCTCTGTTAAGTAGATAAGAATAAAGAAGCCTACAGTATCTTGTTCAGAGCTGAACTCATTTCCTGTGTGTGGCCAAGATTGAGATGTCACATGTGTTGCATTTCCATGGTGTGTTGGGATATCTCTGCTTTACCCAGATCAGTAGTTATATTCAATTCTTTCTCAGCGAGTCTGAAAATGTCAAATAAACAGCAGCACGCTTCAGTTCAGTATAGACAAAAATACTCTGTGTGTATCTTCAACAGTGGTTGTTGGGGTGTGGGGGGGAATCTCAGATGCCATTACGTGTCAAGACTGCATTGCTGTTTATGTGAATGAGTAAACCACAGGGTGGCCTTTAGAAAGGAAAGCCCAGACCTGTACTTTCAAGGCTCCTGCAGTTGTTTTTCAGCAAGGTCATGAAACTTTAGGGCAAGGGGAGCAGGCCTTTATTGATGGGGGCAGAAAAAGCAGAGAGACCACAGAAAAATACGTGGTATAGGATAAGAGTGTACAACCTTAGCAACTTTAAACCCGTGGACTTCAACTCCCAGAATTCTCCAGCCAGCCATGCAGGCTGGGGAATTCTGGGAGTTGAAGTCCACAGGTCTTAAAGTTGCCCAGATTGGACACCCCAACATGGGACTCATCATTTACAAGCTACAAAGGCAGATATACAGGTAGTACTCAACTTATGGCCACAATTGAGCCCAAAATTTCTGTTGCTAAGTGAGACAGTTTTGCCCCATTTTACGACCTTTCTTGCCACAGGAGTTAAATGAATCACGGCAGTTCACTTAGTGACATGGTTGTTAAGTGAAACTGGCTCCCCCATTGACATTGCTTGTCAGAAGGTTGCAAAAGGGGATCCCGTGACCCCCCCAGGCACTCTGCAACTGTCATAAATATGAATTAGTTGCTGAGCGTCCAAATTTTGATCACGGGACCATGGGGATGCTAACAATGGTTGTAAGTGTGAAAAACAGTCATAACTCACTTTTTTCAGTGCCATTTGAACAGTCAGTCAATGAATAGTTGTAAGTTGAGAACTACCAATACTGGGAGCTGCTTTGCTATAATTTGCTGTAAACTTTACCCTACTAGATGAGTGGATGGGGCAATTAGGCCTTCTCAAGAGAAATTGGGAACTCCTTAGCTCAATTTCTGGTCCTACAAGAGGATAAGAAAATATTTCTTGAGAGGTTTGAATGAACAGCACAGGAAGACACAATTCAGTGACGAAAAGCTATTGTCCTCACATGCCCTTTTCCTTTGTTAAAAAAAACGCACATACACAGTTGCTGAATTCCTAAGCCCTTTGTAATTGTCAAAATGTTGTAAGTCAGCCTGGGAATGATGAGTTTTGTTGAGTGGTTACAGCCCTTCAGTAATTGTGATGTTTTCCCCGCTCCTTTCCTTAAAAGCCATAATGTCATCCATATGTTGATAAGAATCATAATATAGCTGGAAGGGACCTTGGAGGTCTTCTAGTCCAGCCCCCTACTCAAGCAGGAGATCCTATACCATTTCAGACAAGTGTCTGTGCAGACTCTTCTTAAAAACCTCCAGTGATGAAGGACTCACAGTGTCTGAAGGCAAGCCCTTCCACTGGCTAATTGTTAGGAAGTTTCTCCTTCATTCCATGTTGCTTCTCTCCTTGATTAGTTTCCACCCATTGTTTCTTATCCCGCCGTGTGGTGCTCCGGAAAATAAACTGACCTCCCTCTTCTTTGTGGCAGCCTCTCAAATACTGGAAAACTGCTATCATGTCACCCCCGAGTCCTTCTTTTCTCTAGACCAGCCTGCGACTGTTTTTCAAATGTTTTAGTCTCTAGGCTTTTATCATCTTCGTTGCTCTTCTTTGCACTTTTCCCAAAATCTCAACATCTTTTTTTTTCTAATGTGGCGACCAGAACTGGATGCAGTATTCCAGATATGGTCTTACTAAGTCTTTATAAAGCGGCACTAATACTTCACATGACCTCTCTTTAGAAAGATAGAAAAAAGGAACAGTTCTAGCCGACCCCAGAATTAAAGGCACCAGAGGGGAAAGGTTTGGGGTTTTTTGACCCTCTTGTAACTAGGCTGTATACAGGTTGTCCTATGGCCACCATTGAGGCCAGAATTCCTGTTGCTAAGCAAGGCAATTTTTCAGTGTGTCACACCTGACTTTACAACTTTTTTTTACAATGGTTGTTAAATGAATCACTTAATGGTTGTTAAGTGAATCATTGTGAACTAAATCCGGCTTCCCTCATTGACTTTGGTTGTCACAAGGCTGCATAGTCTGCAAATGGCAACCCTGTGAACCCACGATGCTGCAATTGTCATAAATATGCTGCCTTTCAAATCAGCCAAATTCTGATCAATTGAACGTGGGCAATGCTGCAA